ATGTCACAAGCATCATGGCCAATGAAAAAGAATCATTGAATGTACAGTTGACACTCTTTAGGGCCCACCAAAACCAATGGAATACACCAGCCAAAGATGCAAGTCTGTTTGTGGCCCATGGAACGCAGGGCTCGGGCAAGCCAACTGCAGAGTGTGAAGAGGAGGTGGGGTTGACATGTTTTCGGGCTTTCTGTCTTTCTGTAGGAAGATTGGGAACTGTTGCACTGTTTGGTGTACGTCTTCCGGATCACCGGAAGTCTCCCAGCTACCTTCAGCGATGCACAGCACAGTGCTAGGGCAGTTTCGACCAAAGTCAGGGCGGGTCGTTTTTTGGGCGTCAAAGTATTGCTGTGAGACCCCAGCTTGAAAATTGTTCCATAGGGGTTTTTGCAGCTTGAACCCATGGTGCATGTTCATTTCAGAAAGCCTGTCAACCGAAATGGAGGGCACCAGTCTAGAATAGTCTAGACAGGGAGGGTCCCACAGCCAGATGGGCTGCATTCTTGAATGCGTTTGTTCAAAGTTCAACGACTGGCAAAGGTTTCAAATTTTTGGGTGGTCACTTTGAGCCAGCCCTTCAGAGAACAAGATCCTAGGTCACAGTACAGTGTTCAGGTTCAATACTTGATGTTCAAGGTTGTTGGGAATGAGGTTGATCGATCGCCAAGCATTCTATAGATGCTTTTTGATTCTGATGTTGGTGTTGTGGGCAAGACCGTGCTGGCAGCAGTCCTTCTGGAGCTACAGAACCATCCTGAGCACACCACAAAACATGCCCCCTGCTAGATTGGTATGCGTCTTGTTTTGGGGAGGGTCAAACTTGGCTATGTTGTGTACTGATGTGAACTTTGGCTCAAGGACCACCACTAGAATTGACTGAAGAGTAGGGTAGGGCAGTAGGAAGGACGTGACTGCGCACACAGTAAGCTACGCGATGCTGGAGTGTGCTTGCTACTAGAAGATTTCAGCATAGCGTGTGGATGGCCCGCCGCCATGCTTGCGGGCCTCGCGAGGGCTCCTCCTCTGCCATATTCCACACCCGTCTTCCGGAGGTGGACTTCAATACGGGATGATATTGGCATGGCCTTGCAAAGCCTGGGATGGGAGAATGCCTCTATGGCCCCCATTGCACGGCAAAACGCATGCAGAAGCCTCACCGAAAGACCACAAGGTGGAGCTGCCACTTCTCAAAAGTCCAAGGCTGAGTGCCTTGGCTCCTCCACAGGCCCTATTCTGTCATGCTACCGAGCCGCGTCCTGACTGCAAGCCGCGATCACGCCTATAGCCGCCTTGTGGAGCATGTGGCTTCGCACTTTGAGCGACATTTCACGACTGGAGCAAGCGCCTGGAAAACTTCACCGGCAGACGCCTCGCCACGCGATTTCCTCGGTGAGGCCTGCGCGCACGCACCCGGCAAAATGTTGGCGAGGCACAGGGCGCACAGTGAGTTGCAGCAGTTGCAGCGGTGAATTTAGCGAGGGTGAAAAGTGCTGTAGAGTCCTGGTCGCCACTTTGGGCCTCCGATGTAGCCTGTTTGCACAGGGTGTGGCGGTTGGAGCTGACTGTGGCTTGTGGTCCTTTGTTGGTGATTTGCTTTGACCTACTTGGCAGGATAACCTTTTAGAAGGTTTGGTGTGGCCAGATGCGGCTAGGAGAAGCTTAGAGAACCTTTGGTAGCACTGCGTGTACATGGGCACTGTTTGAGATAGTTCTCTTGAGTTTGATGTTGATTTGAGATGACTGTGAATAGTCTTGACTCTTTTAAGAAGAGCTGACAAGCTTTGGAGAAGCTTAAAGGCTGTGGAGTGTGAGCCTCGCACGGCCCTGACAGTGTGATGGAGGCCGCAAAGGCCATGCTTCTGTGAGTGATGGAGGCCGTGGAGGCCATCCTCTTGCATGTTTGGAGGCCGCGGAGGCTCGGCCTCGCGCGGCCCTGACAGTGTGATGGAGGCCGCGGAGGCCGACAGGGACCCGGGGCACTATATTACTTATTAAGTGAGTTCCCCTCGGCACTATTAAGTGAGTTCCCCTCGCACACATCACCTGTCAGGACTGCGTGAAGGTGGAGCTGACGTGCAGGGGGAGCCCCTTTTGGATGCAGCTTGCGCGGCAGCGCGCTAAGAGGATGCACGGATGCAAGGCAGAATTTTATGCCAATCGCTCCCCCAAGTCCTCATCGGCCAGGATTGTGATGGGCAAGGTTCCTGTGGGCGCGCGTCAACGATGTTAATGAGCCCATGTCTTCCATGGTATTCCGTAAGTTTGCCACCATCTTGGCCTCTAAGCAAGTCCTTATCGTCTAGTGGTTAGGACGTCGCGTTGTGGCCGCGACAACCCAGGTTCGACTCCTGGTGAGGACATGTACTGCGTAAGCGCCCCACGCTCCTTTTTGGGGTTAGCATGGCGTGGTCAGCAGTGGCGCTCCATTGCTGGCCAGCAGAGCCCCTCCCTGCCAGCGGGCATGTCAAAGTAGGTCTCGAAAGCTCAGGTTTTCGAGATGAGTTTTCGAGACCTGGTGGCAAGCTTTCGAGGCCTGGGCCCCAGCCTGTTTCTGCTATTGGTTATATGCAGCTGGTCCCGTGGTGTAACGGTTAACACTCTGGACTCTGAATCCAGCGATCGCGGTTCAAATCCGCACGGGACCTCAATGCCCATTCAGCTCCTGTGCGCCCAAGTCACATGTTTGAGCGCCTGCGCTCAGGAAGTTAATGCGATCCCAGCATGCACTTTTGCAAGGTGCACAAGTGCTGGTCTAACCTGTCTGTCGCCGACGGCCATATCTCTCCGAATGCACCGGATCTCTTTCGACCTCCGAAGTCAAGCGGAGAAGAGCCCGCGTAGTACTGACCTAGGGGACTGTTGGGAAGTGCTTAGGGTGCTGTCGGCTTTGCTCTTTCCTAGTGTGGACACGAGCCTGAACAAGCACAAAAAAAGCAGAAAGAAAATTGGCAAAATTCCGCCTCAGAAGAAAGATTTTCAGAGAGAAAACCTCACAAACCGAGACAACTTGTGCAGGCAATGTTATTGGAAGCACCACTGTTCAAGAAGAAGCAAGCAAACTCATGTCTCTCTCTCTCTTGATAGGCCTTGCGGAAACAAACATAAATTTTGCAAAATTCCGCCTCAGAAGAAAGATTTTCGAGAAAACCTCACAAGCTGGGACAACTTTTGCAAGCAATGTTATTAGAAGCACCACCGTTGAAGAAAGGAAGGCGATCACTCATCTCTCTCTCATGATAGAGAAAAAGGAACAAGAAGCCATCACTCATGTCTCTCTCTCTCTCTCTCTCTCTCTGTGGACACACAAGCCTCCCCACGCAAAAGCACCCAGCCTGCGGGGCAGCGCACCAAGCGGATGCACGGATGCAAGCCATTACTTATTAAGTGAGTTCCCCTCAGCACTATTAAGTGAGTTCCCCTCGCACACATCACCTGTCAGGACTACGTGAAGGTGGAGCTGACGCGCAGGGGGAGCCCCTTTTGGATGCAGCTTGCGTGGCAGCGCGCTAAGATGCCAATCGCTCCCCCAAGTCCTCATCGGCCAGGATTGTGATGGGCAAGGTTCCTGTGGGAGCGCGTCAACGATGTTAATGAACCCATGTCTTCCATGGTATTTCGTAAGTTTGCCACGTTCTTGGCCTCTAAGCAAGTCCTTATCGTCTGGTGGTTAGGACGTCGCGTTGTGGCCGCGACAACCCAGGTTCGACTCCTGGTGAGGACATGTATTGCGTAAGCGCCCCACGCTCCTTTTTGGGGGTAGCATGGCGTGGTCAGCAGTGGCGCTCCATTGCTGGCCAGCAGAGCCCCTCCCTGCCAGCGGGCATGTCAAAGTAGGTCTCGAAAACTCAGGTTTTCGAGACCTGGTGGTAAGTTTTCGAGACCTGCGCCCCAGCCTGTTTCTGCTATTGGTCATATGCAGCTGGTCCCGTGGTGTAACGGTTAGCACTCTAGACTCTGAATCCAGCGATCGCGGTTCAAATCCGCGCAGGACCTCAATGCCCATTCAGCTCCTGGGCACCCAAGTCACATGTTTGAGCGCCTGCGTGCACGCCAACGGATGTGCAGGAAGTTAATGTGTTCCCAGCATGCACTTTTGCAAGGTGCACAAGTGCTGGTCTAACCTTTCTGTCGCCGACGGCCATATCTCTCCGAATGCGCCGGATCTCTTTCGACCTCCGAAGTTAAGCGGAGAAGAGCCCGCGTAGTACTGACCTAGGGGACTGGTTGGGAAGTGCTTAGGGTGCTGTCGGCTTTGCTCTTTCCTATTCTGGACACGAGCCTGAACAAGCACAAAAAAAGCAGAAAGAAGATTGGCAAAATTCCGCCTCAGAAGAAAGATTTTCAGAGAGAAAATCTCACAAACCGAGACAACTTCTCCAGGCAATGTTATTAGAAGCACCACTGTTCAAGAATAAGCAAGCAAACTCATGTCTCTCTCTCTCTCTCTCTCTTGATAGGCCTTGCGGAAACAAACATAAATTTTGCAAAATTCCGCCTCAGAAGAAAGATTTTCGAGAAAACCTCAGAAGCTGAGACAACTTTTGCAGGCAATGTTATTAGAAGCACCACCGTTGAAGAAAGGAAGGCAATCACTCATCTCTCTCTCATGATAGAGAAAAAGGAACAAGAAGCCATCACTCATGTCTCTCTCTCTCTCTCTCTGTGTGGACACACAAGCCTCCCCACGCAAAAAAGCACCCAGCCTGCGGGGCAGCGCGCCAAGAGGATGCACGGATGCAAGCCACTACTGTTAAGTGAGTTCCCCTCAGCACGATTAAGTGAGTTCCCCTCGCACACATCACCTGTCAGGACTACCACTGAGTGATTTCCTGAGCAGCAGTGTGAAGGTGGAGCTGACGTGCAGGGGGAGCCCCTTTTGGATGCAGCTTGCGTGGCAGCGCGCTAAGAGGATGCACGGATGCAAGGCAGAATTTTATGCCAATCGCTCCCCCAAGTCCTCATCGGCCAGGATTGTGATGGGCAAGGTTCCATGGGTGACAGTAGCCATGTGGGCGCGCGTCAACGATGTTAATGAACCCATGTCTTCCATGGTATTCCGTAAGTTTGCCACCATCTTGGCCTCGTGGGCAGCCAGGCACCATCCTCTCCTACTCCGGCACCTGTGTTGACTGAGCCTGCAGCAGCGCAGGCAGCACAAGTAACAGCGTGGTTCCTTTTTTGGCACTCAACCTTGCTGTGCTTTGAGCTATGCCTGTCCGTTTGCTTGTAGCGCCACAGGTGTCTTCACCACCTCGAGGAGCAGATGACGAGGCGGGCCGTCCTAGAAACTCTGTTTCCGTGACTTGGCATTCATTCTCCCTCAGGCCAAGCTTTCCGAAGCTGCTTGTGACAGCCGGCCTACTTTCATGCCAGAGGAACATGGGCACGACCAGCTGGTGGGACAGCTTTTGCAGGTCTATACATCTGGTGAGGATTGCCGAGACTTTTTAGCTATGTCAATGGCACTGCGATCACACGGGCTGGGCGCACTTGCGCCACCAACTTTGCCAAATTGGCCCCTACCGACCTCTATGTCTTGCAGCAGTGCAATGATTGTTCCTGGGTTGCTTTCGCCAGCGCAGCCGCAGTTTCGCCACTGAACTGTGCCCTTACTTTGAAAGTCTTGCAAGTGTTGATCCACCCAGCTACTTTGAGTGCCCGGAGCTTGCCTGACCTGTTCACTCCTGATGGAAACTTGTGCTTACAGTCGTTCAAATTTCATTTTGAGCACGTCGTGTACTTGAAGGTTCGACCCACCTCTATTCTATGCTCTTGCCCGGCAGCTGCTATGCATGCACAATGTGAGCATTCCACTTTTCTTCGCAGTCTCGGCCTTCCGAATTTCCCACAGCCGCCTGTGATTCTGACCGCATTGCCTAGCAGCAGAAAACGCACGGGCCGTCCCACCAAATCGGACGCGCCCCCGCGCAAAAGACGCCGCGGTGTCTGACAGAAGATATACTGACGCTCAAAAAGAAGTCTATGCTTTTTCTTTTGTCCTCTCGCCGATTCTGGTATCTTCTTGTATGAGCGCTGACAGCGCACCAATCTCGTAGCTCGTGCTTTCGTTCCATTGGAGTGGCTGCCAGGTCTTTCTTCTAACGTGGCGTGGCCGCCATTGTTTCCAAGTGTTCTGCTCACTCTGTTCTGCTTTGTCGCTCGCTGTTTGCGCTCGCCAGGTTACCTGCTCATCGCCAGGGTGGGGTGCGACGCCTGCGTACGCACAGTTTTTCTTCTCTGCCCAGCGTCCGCCTTGCCGTGGCAGAGAAGCTCAATACCGCGGCATGCGGGAAGCCAAGAAGCGCTGAGGGATAACGCTTGTCAACTTGCAACTGTCTTCCACCTTGCCGACGTCTTGTGCCACGATATGCAGTCTGGTGGTACAAGTGAAATCAAAGGAGTAGTATACTCGTTCTAGCAGCTAGTAGTCTTAATATACTATTCGTCGTACTGGTTGTCGTAGTCGTAGTAGCAAGTATAGTAGTATAGTAGTATAGTAGTATAGTAGTCGTCGTCGTGGTCCTAGTAGTAGTAATAGTAGTAGTAGTAGTAGTAGTAGTAGCAAGAAGTAGAAGTAGTAGTAGTAGTAGTAGTAGCAGTGGTTGTAAGAAGTAGAAGTAGAAGTAGAAGTGGTAGTAGTAGTAGTAGTAGTCGTCGTCGTCGTCGTACTACTACTACTATAGTACCGTCGCCTCGAGCCCCTTACTGTCGCAAAAAACCCCGCTTAACGTTGCAGAAAACCCCGTCCATGCGCTACCGTCGCAAAAAAACCCGGTTACCGTCGCAGAAAACCCCCACAAACGCGTGCCACCTCTCTAGCCCTCGCAAAAAACCCTCGCCCCACCGTCGCAAAAAAAACCCCTGCGGACAGTACTGTCACAGAAAACCCTTTCTGCGGTCACCGTCGCAAAAAACCCTCTCACACCTCACCGTTGCAAAAAAAACCCAAAACTGTCGCAAAAAACCCGCGGCCCTGGAAAGGTGGTGCCAGAAAACTTGAACTCATGCCAGGAAGAGTTGCCTTTCTCATCGACGGTTTCGCCAGTGCCAAAGGCGCTGGGAGCGTGCGCAGTTTGTTGCGCTGGTTTTTTGGTGCAGGTGTGTTAGCAGGCTTGCAAGCGCATTCAGTATCTCACGGGGTGGTTTGCCCAACAAACCTGGAAGCGGAAACGTTTCTGTTTGTAGCAAAGTGTCGAACAATGCATTTTGTCCAGCTGTCTCGAACCGCTCATTGCAGGAAGAAACAGCTGTCGAAGCACCACGGCTGACAACAGACGAAGTCTCAATTGAGGAGTTTTTGTCAGCATGTGCAAATTGCATGGTGAAAACAGGCCGAGGTCGGCAATTTCAAGACATCTTCAACGCAAACATTGTGCACCATTTTTTTCAGTTTGTTCAATGGGGCACGCCACAAGGATGCGATCACATTGACTCAAGATGAACCACCGGCAGAAGATCAAATGGAGGTGCACTGGCCGTACGGGTCGGGCGGTTACAGAAGGGTCCAAGCATCACCAGGCAGTGAAAACAAGATTGTTTTTGCACCAAAGGTGTTCATAGAGGTTGGGTCTGTAGAGACTGGAAACATTTTTTGGGTTGAAATATATTCGAATGCAGTGTAAGCACCGGATCTCGGAACTAGTTCCCTCCTTTAACCAGAAGGTGCAATCCAAACTGGTTGGTGAGCGTTTCATTCAGCAAACAACACGTTTGGGGATTGGCGTGGCATATTTTGTTTGTTTTTTTTGCCGAGTCCGACGTCAAAAAAGGAATGATCGGGGTGCCGTATTTCATCCCTTTAGCTTTGTGCTCCCACATTCTGGATGCCTTGTCATGTGCTGGGGGTGCTGGGCTCTGTTGCCAGGTCTCGCAACAACACATTTCCCGCCCATCAGAACCAACTACAACGAAAACAACTCAAAAAAATGCTTATGTTTTGGGCGGGTGACCTTCTGACTTGATGCTCGCCCATTGGTCTTTTCTTGAACTGAAAATATAGAAGTCTCAACAACCAGCAGAACTTGTTACCCAACCCCGAACATTTGTTGACCGTGACTGTAATTACAACACCACAGGTAATTTGATTGCCTCAAACCACTTTAGCATCGGTTGGAGTCATGCTGATTGTGATGCGATGCTTCAAACCCTAAATTAATTTGTACACTTAAAAAAAAAGACCAAGAGACCAAGGCGACCACAGGTACTGTTGTTGCCTTTTGAACATTTGAACATGGAGGTTGTGTGGTGGTCACAAAATTTAAGCTACAATGACTTGGACATGATGCTAGCCCTTTTCCAAGGCACCATCAGTCCTTTGAAGAGCCACATTTGCTCTGCCAGGTGGGGACCCCCACAAGCTTCTTAGGCCCTGCCCGATGATGACGGTGTGATTTGGGCACACTCGACGAAACGATCATTATATCAATAATTCACTCAGACAAACCCTGAGGCGTAGCACATGTTTGTTACCACTCCAGTGTTTTTGGACACCCATCAACTCACAAGGGGACACTTGCATTAAAAGCACGCTTTTGAGTGAGGACCGCCCCTACCCTACATACTTTCAGGTTCAGTTTCTTTCTAATCTAAGCAACGCATGTTTCTTGTTCAGCCACCAATAATCACCACATGTTATGGTGGCTAAAAATTCGCAATCTCTCATGCAAGCTGTCTCCTTATTTGGGTGAAAAGAGCACCGGCAGCTACTAACGCCTTTGTTGTGCATTTTCCCTCAGTAGATTCGGTAGGCGATTCCGAACATGGAGAGATCTCAGTGCTCCTTCCGTCTGTGTCCAGAGTTCTTTGTTTCGAACGCGTGGGTTCTTGGACGGTCAGCTTGAACGGTTGTCGAAGACAAAGCCTGTGATGTTTCGTAACAGTGGATGGTCGCCAAACTCACGCTGCCGCCGGCAGAATCGATCAAGCCCACGCATCAAACCACCCATGGGACGGGGTGACCACCATCAGACGACCTCCGGACCTCCGGACCTCCGGACCACCGCCAGAGCGAGCTGACAAGATGGTGACCTGGGAGGAAGATTGTGCTCCAGGCGATGCGGGCGTCCCATGGTTTTGTTTGGTTTCTGTTCTGAACGCGGAGGTGTTTCGGAAACATGTCATTTTTGAACGTGGTGGTGTCCGAAAGGACACGGGGGAAGGTGCCCGAATCATTTCTTTTGCTCAGTAGCCAAAGCGTTTGAGGGGTCACCATGCTGCAAAACATCGCCTTCTGGCTACTTTTATTTTCCAGCTGCAGCTGAAGATTGGCAAGTGGTCGCCTTTCACAGTTCATTCTCTAGCAGGCAAACATGTTTGTCCTATGTATTTGCTTTCCTCTACAAACCACAGCATGTGGGCATGTGGGGGCATTGAGTCGTGAAGACAGGAGTTGAAGCCATAGGACCCAAAAGGTTGGACACATCAACTAGATTAACATAACTATCTCTCTCTCTCTCTCTTTCTCTCTATACATATACATACATATTGGGTTTGTCCTGTTATACATATTGGGTGTGTCCTATTACCTGTAACAGTCAGTGCACAGTGATCACTATTTTCAAGCAAGGCCTTTACTAACCATCATCATCCGCTGTTACAGGTATTAGGATACACACATGTGTTCATCCCCTCCAACTTGGCCAATGCGTTGGAAACCTGAGGGTGCTCCTCCAACTTAGCTGAAAGAAGCTGCAAGCTTGCGCAATGATTTGGATGTTTCGAGTTCGCTTCAGAGCTTGTTTGGCTCAACGAGAGCTCGCCCGACCCCAATGGGCACGGACGCTTCCCAAGTGCGTATCCAAATCGATTTTCTAGTCCGTTCGAGGGTACCACCCGCCTGCTGACTTGTCACTTGCTGCTCTTTGGCAGCTGTGGCTCTTTGGCAGGACTTGCACTGGCTGCCACTGCAACGACGGCAGGCCGGAGCGGTGCATAGAATTTCACTCTACAGTTTTGGATTGTCACTTGGTTTTCAATCCTTTTTTCCACAAAGCAAACTACAATTTCGGATTGAAAGTGTTTTGATACGCAAAATACCCATTTCCAATTTGTTTGTGTCTAATGTTTTTGTCGACATCCAGGCACTGACAGCGAGAGTCGCGAGAGTCCCAAGGAGGCACGTGGCTGAGGACACATGGAAAGCAAGCGAAGGAAGACTGACCGACCAAGAGGCAGCCAAAGAGATAGAGGTAATTGCTTTGGAAAACAACGTCTCCTTCAGGTGGAGAATGATGGGAGCAGCGTTGCCACCTGGCAGCATGAATTCACTTCGAAACAATAAAGGCCCTACGATTTCTGCCAGCTGGCATGTTGTACAAGAGCATTGCAGTCGGAAGCAAACCCGTGTGCATGGCTAGTTTGCCAAACTTCGCAAAAAAACCTTGCACACATTATTCGCACTGTTAATGTCTGTTGCATGCCACCACACGAGGAGCTTGGACTTGAGTGGCCGAAAGTTAAAGCACAGGGAGCCAACATGAGAGCAATTTATGGTGAACATCAGGGCATTGGTTGGTTAGGGGTTTGTTGCGTGGCGAATATGATTTGTCTTACGTTTATGACTTGACAGTAACTAAGTGGTGATTGCTTGATTGCAAAGCATCAGCAGCTTTCCCGGTCACCGTCCAACGCTATGACCTAGGCATCCGACATGTCTGATGCCGCTTCTTGACTGCAGCGCGAGTGCATTGAGCCATGCAAGTGGGACGGGTAGATCCTAGGTATTGCCAGGTCCGTGTGCAATCTTATGGAGATGCAGAAAAGCATCCTGTCCGAATGATTTTTGCTTCATGATTCATGAATCCTAACATCGGCTGAAGAAACACATTTGGGCGGACCTCACACGGTTCAGTTGCGGTTTGCGGAGCCTTACTGAGGCCTCCCTGGGTAAGGCCTGGTCCTCACTGTTGTGAATCGCGTGGCGGTGGGGCGTTGGGCGGTCCTCTTGCTTCATACAACAGCTTGATTTCAAGAAACATTTGCTCCAGAGGGTCTCATGAATTTGCCATTGGGTGGTTGTGTTTTTAGCTGGCACTGAAGCCACAACCTGCCAGAACCTGCCATGCTGCACGAGTTCATGCCGACATGTCTTACTCTCCAGCAGCTTGACTTTTCCACTTACTACATTTTGCACCGTTCCTGATAGAAGTGCAGACCTTTATCCACTTCTCCCGATCAAAAATCAAAGTGGCCAAGGCTTCTCCTCGCAGGACCGCACCGTCTAACAATCCAAACTTGTCCATTTTTGTCCATACTCGGATGCTGTAGTTTCTTCTGCACTCACCGTTTCGACTCAGAGGCTTCACGGTCTTTTGAGTCCGGGGGCTCAAATGAATCATTTGGGCCTTCAGTCAAGGTTCGCGGAGCCGCGCGACGGAGGAGCTCTTTGAATCAGGCTCTTTTGTGCAGAAACGACACAGACAGATGATGTGAAGCTCAGATGTTGCACCCTGCATTCCTTCCCCCTGCATTCCCCCTGCATTCCCCCTGCATTCCTGCTCTTCTTCAAGGGCTTTAGACATCACCCCGTAGGTTTGCCTCAAAACAATGGAACTTCCACTGCGGGGCTTCTGTGGGGCCTGACAAAAACGACATCTACCTCGGTCGTAAACGTCCCTCAGGCAAGACAAAGTCTCTTTGTGGAGAGACCCCCCTGCACTTGAACCAGCGGTCAACAGAGAGACGAAGAAGCGGCAGCGTAAAAAAGGCACCCATCATTGTTGGTCATTCAGATCAGTATATTTTGTGGTCATCCGAAAGCTGGATGGGTGAGAAAGGTTTCCGAAGACCTTGATCGCTAAAAGAAAGGTTTGGTTCGAGAGAACTATCTGGTTGTTGCACCTGGTTGGAGTCCACAAAATGCGCGGCGGAAGGTCTTCCTTCGGCCTATTGATCCCTTGAAGGTTTCTCCTGAGGTCAGTTGACCACAACTTGTTAACGAATTGAGGCCTTGGGAAGAAGAGATGAAATGATGGATATACTTGCTTTTGGAGTTGCAGAGTTTGAGCCAGCGCAGCTTCTGGCTCCTATTCTTTTGGAATCTTAGAAGGAACCCTCTCTTCTTGTTAGGGCCACTTGCCCAAATCCGATTGGCCCACTTGCCCACGCTGTGCTGCAGTCAGTGCCCAAGGCACACAGAACCCTCCAGCCCAGATCAGGGACTCTCCATAATCCATTGCCCCATCGAAGATGGGCTTGGATGAACATTTGATGGTCTTCAAGACCCTAGCAGCCTCAGGGCTCGTGGCACCTTCATCCCATCCTTCCTTCCCCTGTGATCCGAACCAACAAAGCAACACCAAAAAATTGCAAAGGCACCAAAGAGATATCGGGATCTTTGTGCCAAGAGTTTTCAGGCTAATGTGAGCGAAGAAGACGCGGTGCAAATGTCATAATTCATTTGATTTTGTAAATCTTTGACAATGTTTGACCAATCTCAGTGTGCTTACTTTGCTCTCATTAATTTCAGATCACCTGTGCCTCAACTGTACGGTGCCGGCGCCAGGGAATTTAGAAAAGACTCCGAAGTGCATGATTGGAAATAGCAAGAGTTTGTTTATCCAGGCACAGTGCTCAACCTAGAGGGTTTGTGGTGCCCGCAGGCCATTTCTGACAAAATCGAAGTCATCTTGACAAGCCTTGGAAAAACAAACTGAAAACATACATTGCAAAACAAAACGCTCTCCAGTTCAGACCCGGAGCAAACATAGCAGCCAAATGGCCAGGAGACTGTCAACTGGACAAATGACTGTTCGTTGACTCTCAAAAATGCCACTGAACACACCAGACATTACAAAACCATCAACCACATAATCAAGCTGGTTGAATTGTGTCGCATTTCTTAGAAAGATACATTTTCATCCTTTTCCTGCAGCTTCATGGCGGCTTCTTGAATTTCTGCATCCCCAGCCGAGGCGGACCGAGGTTTTAATGACGGGCAAGGGGGTGAGCGCTGCGGAAGAACGGCCCAGAAGCAGTGTGGATCTTTTTTTGGAGAGTGAAAAAGAGTGTTTGGGCGTATCCGTGTATGCTTGAAACTCAAGGTTCCTCTCAAACACCCCCCTTGATATGTAGACCAAGTTCGCCGTCGATTGTGACGAAAGATGCTCTTCTTCTGGCAGACATGCTCCACTTACGTGGGTTGTTGAAGGTGGCCAGTAGGCGAACGGAGCGCCAGGCTGAAGAGGTTGGTGGCTCGTTGCAGGTGGCTCGTTACATGCATGGCACCTCCACCTCCGTCCACCTCCCACCTCGTTGCGTGCCCAAAAACCCAAGCCGTAAGCTGGGATGCCTCACAGGAATCCTGGGCTGGAGAAGCTGGCCATGTAGCGACCGACCATGCTGCTGGCCTCCTCTGAACGGCTCATGCCTTGGCTTTGCGTTTGGGGTTGCCTTTTCAACCGATAATGCTTGGTTTCGTCTTTCCAGGTGTAGAGGACTTGCTTGGGCCATTGACATTTGAAGGTTCTCATGCATATTCAGATGCTGCTTAAGTACCAACACACAGATTTCTTCAGTGAGATGTCTGAGTCAAGATTGCACGATATACGTGAACCCAAACCCGGAAAAAAGGGCGGTTGATCAGTAGAATTGCTATGTCAGCTGGGCCGCAGTGGATCCGAATAGAATCGAATAGAACCCAGCATGCAGCGAAACGCTGAAGCATACTGGTGCCAGATCTAAGCAATGTCTAACAACCACTTTAACAACCATGGCATTCTCTTGAGGAAAGACTGGATTCCAGAAAGTTTCAGGCACCTCCTTCACCTGGGTTGATGAAGCTTTAGCCTAGATGTTGACTTCTGGGATTCCGCGATCCGTCGGCCATGTCACATGGCCATGCCCTGCTCTGGGTGTGTTGAGCCCAACCGTTGGGACCTGAGACCTGTCCAGTCATTCGACCGAACGCCGAATCGACCCAACGCACCGAACGGTGTCACCGAACGTGCCTGACCTGACCCATGACGCAGCACGTGCAGATCTCTCATTCTAAGCCTGATCTTCAGAGGGTCAGGTCGGTCAGGTCGGTCAGGTCGGTCAGGTCGGTCAGGTCGG